TACTGGACCTTACGGATCACCAAGCGCACCGAGTTCCTGGGGGGAGACGGGGAGAGGAGAACCCAGGGGTCCGGCTGTCTGCAGGCAGCTCTGCCCACAGGCTGCCCTCCTTCTTGGCCCGGTTTGGGTCAAATCCCTGTTTTCTGCTGGTCTGCTGGGTCAGGAGAAGGATGGCGTGGGCGGTCCCGGCTGGATGCCCGGCTTGCCTGGGCTGCGAGGGGGCAGCCCCACGGCCGTGCCAGGCTGCCTGCGTGGCACGGGAGGGTTGGGCTCCTTGCCTGCAGCGCAGCGGTACATGTCTCCATCCCAACCCCTAGATCATCTCTCACCCATCCCTACCCTGGAAAGCATCTTCATCCCAGCTCCATCCTGGGGAACACCTCTGTCCCGGAGAACATCTCCATCCCAGTCCCAGCCTGAAGGACACCTCCATTCCAACCCCAGCCTGGAGAACATCTCTGTCCCTGCCCCAGCCTGGAGGACAACTCCATCCCAGCCCCAGCCTGGAGGACATCTTCATCCCATTCCCAGACTGGACAACATCTCCATTCCAGCCCCAGCCTCGAGGACATCTCCACTCCAGGCCCAGCCTGGAGGACATCTCCATCCCAGTCCCAGCCTGGAGGACATCTCCATCCCAACTCCAGACCCAGCCTGGAGTTCATCTCCATTCCAGCCCCATCCTGAAGGACACCTGCATCCCAGCCCCACCCTGGAGGACACCTCTGTCCCAAATCCATCCTGGAGGACATCTCCGTCCCAACCCCCTCCTGGAGGACACCTCCATCCCATCCCCATCTCACCCACTGTGGGTAGCAAAACAGGGTGCCCCTTCCCCGCTGCCAAGGTCGCAGCCCCTGCCAGCACCCCGAGTATGCTGCTCCCACCCGGGCTGGATGGATCCTCTCCACTCACCTCTTGTGGATTTTCTCCTCCAGGTTCTCCGCACAGAAAGCTTTGACCTCATAGTCCACACCGCAGGCCTGGAAACCAGGAGGGGGCAGAGGAGGGGGCAGAGAAACCCCTTTGCACCCCCCCCAAAGAGGTGACCCCAACCAACGGCCGGTCACCACTGCCCGGTGGCACAAGGACGGGTGGACCTTACCTGCCCCGTGTCCTCCGGGCCCGGCTGCAGCGTGACGGAGCAAGGCAGGTTGGGGTGAGGGAGGCC